GTTTTAGATTAAATCAGAACCCTGTAAAGAACTTGGAAGTAATTGGGGTGTTTAATTTTATTTCTGTATTGTTTATTTTCTTGCCAAATCCTTCAGAACTCTGGGATTGATCCCATTTTGCCCTGGAGTTGTTCCCACACTGGCAGTAGGTTTGCCTAACACACTGCTTCATGCAGAACAGACAAGGCTCCTGGAATTTGTGTTCCTCTTGCTTTGCTAGATTTTCATGATTGATAATGAGGGTGAGAGAACCATAGATTTCCTATGGCCATAATTCTTACAGGTTAAATATAATTTCCTTGTAATTAATTTAATTACCTTATGTCCTCAAACTCTTATTTTACTATACTTTTTTTTTTCTTATGAAGTCTCTTTTTCTAATTTAAGTGATAAATGAATCCTTATTTTTAGTTTCTCTTTTCTATTGTCCTTATTTCTTTTTTCTCTAGTGAGTTTCTAGCTAGTATTTTAACTATTACAATAGTTTATATATCCCTTTGCCAATCTATCCCATTTCACCTTGGTTTATTTTTTTTTAGTTTACATTGTTCCTAGTATGAACATATTTCCCTTTTCTGTTTTAAAGTTCTTAATTCTCTTGAGGCTCATTCAGAAACTAAATCAAATATTGACTACATTCAGTTGCCTGAGATACCTAAAAATATTCCTTATGGATCACAACTAAAATTTAGAGGGATTCTTTGCTATGAACACTGGAAAAACTGATATGAATTGCTATCATTCAAATACATATCATGGAAAATTTATGACCTTTATTCAGTATTAGCCTTTTAAAGTTTGGGTTTCTTATATATGAAAAAATAAACATTGTTGTAATGACTTTTGTCAGTAACAGCTTTAAAAGTTCTAAAATCTCAATTTTGCTGATTTTAATTATGTAGGAGTTTTAAGAAAAGATAAGATTCTAAATGAAAATGTTTTCATTGCAGTATTTTTTCAAATTGTTTTATAAGAGGAATAAAATGCCTCCACTTAAAGTACCAAATATAACAAAATGCATTGGGGAAAATATACATGTCTTTCTTTGAAATACTGATATCTAACAGATCCTGGAATCCAAAACAAAAACATTTTCCATTATCTTTGCATTATGAATAAATCTGGTTTTGGACTAATGAAATATTAGCCGATTCTCTTTTTGAATCTTTATCAAAAACCATTCAACTACTCCTTGAACATATAGATATAAAATATCCATGTATGAGAAGCTTAAATTTATTTACATGAAAAAGATTTCTCCCAATTTATTTAAGAGGAAATTTAAGGAATCACTTCCCAGCATCTTCCAAGTGTTTCAGATAGGTTTGTCTTAATGGATTCAGTTGAATGACTTACTAGATGTGTATATGAAAAGTATAACGTGTAAAGCTCTTATTTCAGCATTCATTCCATAAGTTTGACATTTCCAGACTAATGCTTGGAACAGTTTATGATGTCAAGTGTGTTAAGTTGTAGTACTGCAAAATAAATTCATTGGTTGAATGATTTGTTTAAAAGTTTCTGAAATATAATGTTCAGAGTTCTCTTGAGTCTTATTTGCATATTAGCAGAACTTTAAACTTCCTGCAGTATAGGGTCCACTGGATGATATTTGAGAATAGAAAGAAAAATAAAAGTTATCTTTTCCTGATGTTTACTTATTCTTTGGGACGTTCAGCAAATGGAGTAATTTTCCCTAAAGACAACTTAAGCATTGAAAAGAAAGTTTGAGTTTCTAGCAAGCTTGAGAGTGGTTCCTTCCAGTTTGACCCCTGCTGAGAATTTGCATTTCCACCTCAGATATACAGAATCAGACCTGGGGATCTTATTAAACTGTAGATTGTAATTATGTGTATCTGGAGTGGCAATGCAATTGTCAAAAAGGGGTCAAACCAGAATGAACTGGTTTGAAGCCCTGGTTTCTAGGAAAAGTGTTTACTATTCTAATTGACTATACTAATCCTAAATCCTTTGAAAAATAAATGATGTTTTCAGAAATTTGTGTCAGATTGCTATGATGGAAATAGCATTAACTTGCAGCACCCATTCTAGGTAAACTCTACTTCAAAATGTCAGGGAAGTGCTGCTTTTGTGTGTTTGTTTATTTGTTTTTTGCAAGAGCTAAGTAATAAGGCCCCCTTTTGAATTTTTTTCTCAGAATGCTGGGGATTCAAAATTGTCATTCAGAATATTTTAACAGATTTATTTGGTTTGAATTGTAGGAGATGCAGTGTATTGTGTAGTACATACAACCAGTAATACTTGCCTCAATAATAATAAAAACAACAATGGTGGTGAGCAGAGCTATATTTCTAACCACAAAGAAGCTGAAGACCTTAGTTTAGATACTTCATAGACATTCCTCAGTAAGCAAGTTCTTCCTTTACCCCCTGCCAGTGACCCAAGGAATCACTCCCACGTAAATTCACCAATACAAGTTATCAAAATAGGGAGTGCTGGTGGCATCGTGCCTAAAGCACTTGACTGCTAACCAGAAGGCTGGCGGTTCAAACCCACCGGCCACTCCTCAGAAGGAAGATGGGGCAATCTACTTCCGTAGTGATACTGCCTCAGAAACCCAAGGAGGGGTTGCTGCTGTGAGTCAGAGACGAGTCGACAGCACATATCAGCAACAACAACATATTATCAAATCTAAATAGCACAGAAGCTAGAAGGCACCAGTTATTTGCCAAAGCAAGGAAAAGTTTACCATTCTCCCACTACTTTTTTCTTCACCTCTCCATTCACTAGCTTTTGGGTTTGGTTTGGTTTGGTTTCTAATTTTATTATGATCATGTATAAAGCAAGCTATTTGTCATTTTAACCATTTTTAAGTGTGCAATTCAGTGGCATTAAATGTATTTACCATGTTGTGCTACTATCACCACTATCCATTACCAAAGGTTTTTTTCATCACTGCAAACAGAAACTCAGTACCCTTCAGCAGTGGTTCCCATTCCCCCTTCTAGTCCCTGGTAACTACTAATAAACTTTTGTATCTGTGTATTTGCCTGTAAGTGGAATCATACTATATTTGTCCATTTGTGTCTGACTTATTTCACTCAGCATGTTTTCAGGGTTCATCCATGCTGTGGCACATCCAGAACTTCATCCCATTAATTTTTAAAGTGTCCTCAACTTTAGAAACTATAATTTCTAGTTTATGTCAAAATCAAGACTTTGGAAACTAAGGTATTTTTCTTTATCAGTTTCTGTAACTATTGGTTTTTAGGCTAAAATTAGAGTACTTCTTTTCTGATTCTTTCTACCTCCTAGTAAAATACTTTTTTTTCATATTGAGAATTTTTAGTGGTAATTTTTAGAAGGATGTCTGTCATTCATTCCATTTAATATAATTATATATTTTGTTATGATTTTTTTAGTATATTAAATTGCCAGGGTTTTTTATTTATTTATTCTCTTAATATTATTCTTGCCTGATTTTGGTGACAGAAACTTAATATAAGAATAATCTCTTAGTTAAAGTTTCTTTTCATCCTTATAATACCCTGAATGATTGGCTGTAAAATGTTGCCTTTCTTTCTAGTCCACTGAATATACTAAATGTAAATAACACTGAAGAAAAATTGCCTACCACTTTTAAAAACGAACTGCGAATGTGAAAATGTCTTCTGATGTGATCACTTTTTTAAAAAGCTCAACTGCATTATAATCCAGAGGAAGTCATGGCCTAAATGTTTGTGAGACATACAGTATGCAGCAATAAAATGATCTTTATTTTACCTCTATCTGATGATGTAACATATAAAACCACAAGTTGTATTGTCAGGATTTTATTTTACTAACTCAGAACTACCGTATATATAATAACACTCTATTTTAGAAATGGTAAGCAAGCATTGATATTTAGGAAAAGCTGGAAAACGATAGCAATAAACTAAAATAAATGAGAGAGAATATTAATTGTAAGACAAAAAACTAGAGTTATTTTCTTAAGGAACAAGTATGACACATAAGAAATTGAAAGAAAGCTTTTGAAAAGCAAGAAAATATGAAACAATGAAGTAAAATCATCCACTTTTAATAATAAACAATTGAATAAAATCTAAAAAGTAACTAAACGTAAATGTCCATTTAGTAACTACACATAAACTAAATGATTTGAATTTGAACTTAAATAGCTGCATGATTTTAGTTGAATTATAATATATGATTATGTAATATTAGGACTTCTTCAAATCACTGCGTTTGTTAGTTTATAGCTTCAAAAAATACACATAGAAAGGTTTCTGGGAATTATTAAAGGTTCCCCCACACACACACCTAAACCATAGAATTGGTTGTTACATGTCCTTTAATGTTGACTTTTTAAAATGTCAGAATAGATGTAATACCAGTGTAAACCACAGGGTGGGAGTGAAAGGTAAGAACTTGTGTTGAAGTAGCTTAATGCATATTTATTGCACTATATTTATACCTTTAAAATGCTTGTTAAATTAAGGAGCTACAGCTTGAGTTTTCTTCTTCCTCTAATACAGCTGCATTCCTCAGCAAAGAATCAATAACTAAATACAAAGGCATTTATTTAAATGTATAGTCCACTATTTGTGTATATCACAAGAAGTAAACAAAAAGGTAGATTTTGTTTCACCCTACTTTCTGGTCGTATCAGGTATCTGGTGATCAGAGTAGCAATTTTGACTAATAATTGTATATGGGAATTTTTTTTTAATTACTAGTATTGAAAATAGTAATTGAAGTTATTATCAGAAAATTAATGTCTTCATGCTGTTTTTCTGCCTCCTTTGTCCTCTTTCCCTGATTTTACCCATTTAAAAATAAATTCAATTATATGTCTCATTTATCTATATGTTTATATATACTATATATACACTGTATGCATACAGTATATATATAAAGCTATCTCAACTTCTTTTTCAGTAGGGAAGATAAATAAATTTTCCATTATACTTTCTGTTAATACTTTCTCATTTGTGTTTGGAAGCAATTTAAAGTGCTAATCATTTTGTGTCTTTAAGGTAAGAAGACAAGAGGTTTCTTCTAGAAAAGAAGCTTCACCAGGGAGTCTTGGCATTCCTTTATCCCCTGAAAGGTAATTCTGTATTCTTTTTTGCCAACTCTAAAAATTATAAATAGATTAATCTATTTTATATTTAAAAAGTTTTAGTAATTATAAGAAAATAGCAGCTTTTTTTAAGGACTGTGAAAGACCAACAAAACTTGAAACTGCTACATGTTAAAATGAGCTAATTAAAAAGTTACACAATTAATAGCAGAGCTAGATCTAAAAGGTGAATTCTCTGAAGCTCTGCTATTTCAATAGACTGAGTATTATGACCACAACGGTTTTATAAGGACTCTAATGTGAACATTATAAAAATGAGGAATAATATTTATTTTTTTCTATTTATTTCCAGAGAACAGAAGTCAACACATTAAAATTTCTAATGTAGATCAGCATAAGAGCCACCATATGATATATGAATAAACAGATGTGGTAGTTTGAACTACATTTATGTATTAGAACTTTTAATTTCTCTCTTACTTTGTGCATAGTTCTTCAAACACTGTAGTTGTTATGGGGCCATTTTCTAAAAATTTAAGTAATATTTTAACTTTAACTTTTCAATAACTGTGTAGTACATAGAAAGTTGCAATAAGTTTAATTATGATAAAAAATATGTAAAAAGGTACAGCCTTGTTTTTTTTTTTTTAACTTAGGGATTATATAGTGAAGACATTCTGGGATCTGAAAGAAGAAATTCATAGAATACGCATGCTAGCAAAAGCACAAAAAGAGCATTTAAGCAAATTTAATGTACCAGACACTGTAACTGGTAAGTTTTGATTTAATGCACAGTTATATTTATTTTATTGGTATTTAATTGAAATTGATTTATTTTTTAATGTGAGAATATTTCTAAGTACAAAGGAGCTGCAACTTACCCCTCATCTTCCTTATATTTGAATGGATGAGTGCTGTTTAATATATTACATTATATAATTATTGGCCTTTTCCCTCTTTCTCTATTGGGAGTGCTACTGTACAGGTTGAATTAATTGACATAATCATCTTAATGAGAAATCCCAATGTGGAAAAATACAAAATAATCATAGGTTATATCTCTCAAAGTTTTCAGTTGCTGATTAGAGGTTTTATTAAACATTAAATCGTATGTTAGTAAGCAGCCTTGAAGCCCCACTACCATCTATGAGCTAAGTAAAATTACATTAGGTCTGCTTTTAACTTATGCCTGAAAGTTAGTTGAATGCTATGGATAGAGTTATAAAATTTGCTTTAAGAAATATACTCTTCACATATCCTGAGTGCCAATTTTATTGGAAACACAAAGTAAAAGTTTAATATAAAATATAACTTACATAGATCATGTGATTTACACATTTGTTACACTGTGTTTTTTAAAAGCTCCTCCCTTCCCTAAAACCACAGACTAGCTTCCTGATATTTACTTCAGTAGTTTGATATGAATAGCAAAATACTAGTGATTGAGTCTGGCCACCAAGCACTTCAGTAAATAAAAAGATGGTAGCCTTATCACTTATAATGATAAATTCTCCTTTACTCTTATGATTTGAGGTATTCTTTATATGATTTTCAAGAGATGTGATTGACAGTTTTCACTCTGAGAGATGTTTCAGCAGTGCTGACCAGCATCCCTGTAATTAATGATCACTCCCATTTCTTACGGGTCTTATATCTAGGCTATTTAAACAATAATTTCATAGTTTCAATTCACTTTTTGCTTCCTACTACTACTATTTCATTTTCAGTAAAGGTATACAATATGTACAATATGGTATTGGAGAAATGAAACAATTTTTGTAGCATAGTTTCTTCTCTTTATTTCTTTAACCTCCCCCAAAAGAACTCTAATTTCTCCACCTTATTTTTTGCAATATTTTCATGATAATTGATTTTTCGTACAAACTCAAGACAGTAGATACTTATGAACTAAAAGAGTTATTTTTATTGAAAATATATAAGCCATAGAAATAAATATAGTACCTAGAATTCATAAACATGCTTTTTTTCTAAACATCGGCATCTTATCAAAACATTATAACGGTGATACATTCTTTGTTACACAGAGAACTTACCCCATTATCAATGGCTTAATACTTTGACCATTTTTAAATTACACAGGTCTAAATCTAAGTATGTATCTGTCAACTAGAACCCTGAGTGTTTAACTTCAATTTTTTCCCCACTAAAACTGCTTACTAGTGTTATTCTTATATTTTATATTAACTGTGTCATAATAGGTACAACATTATTCTTGAAATATTTGGAATCTGTTGTACAGATGCCAGTAAATTTTTGGTGGGCCCAAACAGAAACCAAAATATCAAATATCATGCTTCTGTGCATAGTAGATTAAAGGGGAACACACCACTGTTGAGTCAGATCCGACCCATAGCAACCCCTCCTTGGGTTTCCAAGGCAGTATCACTACAGAAGTAGATTGCCCAATCTGCCTTCCGAGGAGTGGCTGATAGGTTTGAACCTCCAGCCTTCTGGTTAGCAGTCAAATGCCTTAGGCACAATGCCACCAGAGCTCCTGATTAAAGGAGAAAGAGAGAAAAATAAATATTTAGGAAAAAAAGATACCTATTCAGGGTTTCTAACTGTGGATGCTACATTGAATAAAAGTATAAAGGAATTATTCAGATATGATCTGAATAATATTTCTGGAAAAAGTATATTTAACATTATTATTCCTATATAGTTCATTAAAAATATTTCCATGTCATTTTTATTAGAATTTGATTTAATTTTAAATAACCAAATAGAACTCATGAAAAATTGCTGAGTTAGTAAAATTGTATATTTTATTACTGTCTTTCTTGTACCCATCTACATATGACAATAGTCTTGAGGAGAGATTAAGGTAAAACATGTTTCTTAAAAAGTAATATTTGGTCTATAGAGGAGAATCCTATTTGAATGGAGATTAGGAGAAAAGAATATAGGATTATATATTACAAACAACCATCATGTATTTTTCTTTTGTCAATATACAAAATAATTAAGCTTAGAAGTAGTCTTAATGAGCAGCCTCTAGTTAAGTTTTAAAAATTTGAAAATGTCTCTCATTTTGCTTTTTTCTTGCAAAAATAAGTATTTTGACATGACAAAATAGAGAAGTAATTTATTCACCTGGTATGTTTCTCAGTAGAGTGTCAGGATGATGAGTGCTTTCATGTTCCCATTTGGGTTTTATGTTTTCTAAGATTAGATTTCTAGTGGCCCTTAGGAATCTTAGGTTTATTTAGATTTTTTTTTTTTTTTAATAGATAATAACTCTCACTGTTTGGGCAAATTAACTCAGAAGATTATTTAAATATAGTTAAGGTTGCTTGCCAGCTAGCTGTGCTGGAAGAAAACATCTGCTTTAATACAGCTATTTGATTTCTCTGTGTTTTATTTACAAATGGAATAGGTCAGTTACTGGAAAAATAATCCAAAGCACATTTCTATTAGTTTTGGGACTCTTGTCTATGTATATTGAAACCAGCCTTTCAAATTAGTATAATAATTTGGAACAGAAACTCTAGAGTTAGACTACCTGGCTTCCAGTGCCAGATCTACTAGTTGTTATCTGTATGGCCTTGAAATTAACCTCTCAATGTCCCGGTTTCTTTACATGTAAAATGAGGATAATAATAGTACAGTACAAATGGTTAACATCATTGACTCCTAAATGAAAGGTTGGAGGTTTGAGTCTACCCAAAGGCAACTCAGAAGAAAAGCCTAGTGATCTTCTTTCACAAAATCAGCCGTGGAAAACCCTACAGAGCAGTTCTGCTCTGGCACACACAGGGTCTCCATGAGTTGGAGTCAGCTCGATGGCAGCCGGTTACTGGTTGTTGTTGTTGTTGTTGTGATGTGCCCTCGAGTCGGACCCGACTCATAGAGCAACCCCTCCTTGGGTTTCTGAGGCCATACCGCTACGAAAGTAGATTGCCCCATCTTCCTTCTGAGGAGTGGCTGGTGGGTTTGAACCTCCAGCCTTCTGGTTAGCAGTCAAGTGCCTAGGTTACTGGTTACCTGCAGATTATTTTTGAGTGTTAAGTAAATTCATGCATGTGTAAGGTTTATTGAGTCTGAATCAACTCCACAGGAACAGGTTTTTGATGATGCATGTAAGAGTGCATGGCACATAGAAATTCTAATAAATGTTAATAGTTATTGATGTCTACAGCAGCAGATTCTTCAGTGTTCTCCCTGTTTCCTTATGACAATCATTTTGATAAGTCTTTGCTCCTCAGGTATTACAGAATTTGATTACTTCAACAGTTGGTTTTCCTGATTTGTTATCCACAATTAGCAAATGTTATCTATAAAAATAGTGCTATTTCCTACAATTTCCTGAGATTTGAGTGAAATCTCCTACCACAAAAAAATGACTACTTGAGAATTAATAAACTTTAAGAACCTCAGAGTTCAAAGAAATCTAGCTAAACAAATGAGCTTGGGCTCAATTGCTAGACCCTCCTTATCATCAGTCACATACAGAGTATCTAGTAAATGTAGAGTATTGTGCTAGACTCTGTAAGGAAGCGAATACAAATTCATTGAGAATGCATTTATTGATGACATACTAACTGCCAGGCACTAGACAGGGTACTGGAGATAATTGGAGAACAAACCATAGTTTAGGGCCTGAAGCAACTTACTCTAATGGGAGAAATTGAGGTATATTTGCAAGTACCAAAAAAAAAAAAAAAAAAAAAAAAAACCTCACTGCAATCAAGTCAGTTCCAACTAATGGCAATCCCCATTGGGTTTCCAAGGTTATAAATCTTTACCGAAGTAGAGAGCCCCATCTTTATTTACGGAGCAGCTGGTGGGTTCGAACCGCTGACCTTTTATTTAGCAGACAAATGCTTTAACCACTACACCACCAGCTTACATGCAAGTACAGTACAGAGGTTTAGTCCTTCTAGGCACTTAAGAGTCGTGCCTAACCAGCCTCGGGGAATCAGGGAGAACCACCCAAAGAAATCTATGTCTAAGCCAAGATACAAAGAACAAATAAAAGTTAGACAAAGAGTAGTGGGAGGGAACATCTCAAGCAGTTTGCACAGCATATGCAAAGGTCCAGAGATCAGAGAACATGGCTATTTTTAAAAAATTACACGAAGTGTATTATGGCAGAGTTCACCTAACCACTGCACCACCAGAGCTCCTTGAAGAAAAGAAGGTATACTGAAAAGTGAGCATTGGGGCTGACTAGGGGCCAATTATGGACAGTATTACATGGCTTTTCTGAGGACCTTGGAAAGGTCTGAGAAGGTTTTATTAGGAAGATAACATAACCACATTTGTAGTTTAGAAAAACTTCTCCCGGAAGAGGGGCTAAGCAACAGTATAGAGAATGGATTATAGGAGATAAATTTAGAAGCAAGGAAGTAGTTCCAAGGCTGTTGTCTTAAGAAGCAGTAGTATATAACAGGGTGAATCAAAGATGTTAGTTGTATTGCACTATATATCATACCCCAATAGAAAATCTATCTCGTATTGAATATGTGCTGCAGAAACAAATAAACAGGTGGTGTGAGGCTCCCAACACCAAAAGAAGAGAGAAAATCGCTAACATTTGGTTAAGTGTATTAATGGCAACTGGTTCCTGGTTAAGTACCTACTAACCTGAACACTGTGCAAGGTAGTATATTGTGAACCATGTCTACTTAAACCTACATCATTGTTAAGGTCTTCATTTGTGAATTGAATACAACTTCACTAATTTTAACCTTTTTAAAGTGCTAACATTTTTACTGTTGTTTTTTTTTTTTTTAACCATTTATCCATTTTAAAATCTTTCTTCAAATACACACATTACCAACTTCACTGCCTTCTTGAACTGACACTACAGAGCATAATTTAGCTTTCAGTTTTTTTCTGATGTCTCAGGATCATCAACATGGAGAGTCCTTTGATCATTGTTGTTTTTTTTTTTTTTTTTTTAATTGAGAAATGTAGGTCTTGTTGGCTGTACACTAGGCTGCATTGTTTCCTGCATGCTTACATCTGCTTTTTTATTTTTCTTCTCCATGCTTTTGCCTCTTTTTATTAATATCTATATTTTGCCTTTAAAACTCACCCTTTTAATTAGGTGCTTCTAACCAGTTAGAGAAGCATCATGAAACTTTCAATAAACCTAAAATGAGAATAGGGCCTTATGGCTCTAATTTTGGCTTCTCAGCTCTATTTACCTACTTTCTGTCTTTGTCCCAGAGAGCTGAATTTATTGGATATAAGTGACTTTTAAATAAATGAGTTACAGAGACCCTGCTATCTACCTGTTACCTACAGAGGCCATGGTATCTACCCTGGGTTGAAGTGAAGAGAAAATCATAATACTCATGTACAGTTTTCTTACCACACATCCTGAAGTTTCATCTTTCTTTCCTCTCCCTCCTCTTTCTTCTCCTTCCCTAACCCCCACCACCACTACTCCATCAATAGGATTATTGAGAGTAGACAATGGCTAAATTGATTGGTAACATAGTTACATAGTAATTTTGGGAAATAAATTACTTAATTCATATAGATTCTTTACCTGTGTGTTGAATGCCTAGTGTGGATTTTCCCTCATAGCAACATATTTGTCAAAGTAAGTTCACAGTTGCAGCTTCCATTACTGACAAAATGTTTAAATGTATACACTGCATTTAAACATGACTTAAAATGTGGATCACTGTAACTGTGAACAAGATACAAAGCTTACAGCAAAATATCTAGGGAAAGACAAAGCAGTTAAACTGCCATTAATAAGATACATTCCCATTCACCCGCTGGAGACTGCTAATATTCCTGTGAAACACAGTAACAAATGTAAAAATCCTGTTGTCTTTAGATGCCATAAAAACCAATAGAAAAATAATACTCATCTGTCCAAAGCTGAACAGATTTTTAAGAATGATTTGAATGCAACTGTTTCCCTTTTGTGTTCTTGTCCCCTGCAGAAACACAATGCTCTGTGCCTATACAGTGTACAGATAAAACAGATAAGCAAGAAGCACTATTTAAGCCTCAGGCTAAAGATGATATAAATAGAGATGCACCATGCATCACATCTGTCACACCAAGAGGACTGGGCCGAGATGAGGAAGACACCTCTTTTGAATCACTTTCTAAATTCAATGTCAAGTTTCCACCTATGGACAGTGACTCCACTTTCTTACACAGCACTCCAGAGAGACCAAAAGTTCTTGATCCTGCCACTTCTGAGGCAGTATGCCAGGACAAATTTAATATGGAGCTCAGAAATAACCCAGGAAACTTCGTTAAGACAGAAGAAACTTTATTTGAAAATCAGGGAATTGACCCCATAGCTTCAGCTATACAAAACCTTAAAACAACTGACAAAACAGAACCTTCAAATCTTGTAAACACTTGTATCAGGACAACTCTGGATAAAGCTCCGTGTTTGCCACCTGGAAATCATAATGCGTTATATGTAAATACATTCCCACTTCAGGACCCGTCTGACGCACCTTTTCCCTCGTTTGATTCCTCAGGAAGAGCTATCCGAGGACCACAGCAGGTAACTGTTTTGCTTTAACAAATACATTATGTGTGAACACACATTTTGCCATACATGCACAGATATGTATCCCTTTTAGGTTATCGACATTCTTTTTAAGTTAATAACTAGCCAAAGTTAAAATTTTTAATAAAACATTAAGTCCCATAATAAATGACATGACATTATAAAATGGGACTATAGCTCTGTAATAAAGTACATTAAAATTTATGGCACATTTTAAAATCCAAGTATACCTTATTCATATCTAGTGTGATGTCACTTTCTTAATCCCTTATTCAAAGCTTGTTTACTCAATATCAATGTTATCACAGGATTCTTTATTAAATTTTATAATGTGAAACAAATGGTACTTTAAAAAAAAAATATTTGTACAGGTCATACTCATCTTTACAAGAATACATAATTTTCTATAAGTGAATCATTGCATTGTATATTCCTATTTATCAAATAAGTGAACTGTCTTTCAGCTAATGTAATATCCTCAGTTACACAGTATGTAGATCTATAGTGTTTGGTTTGGGTTTTGGTTTCTAATCTACCACTGAACATGCAGCCTAATATATTTTTTTATAATAATCTGTGCACATATACGATTGCAATCTAATACTTTGTTTTAAGCTCACATTCTATTTACATTCCACTTTTTACCCTTTCTTTTAGATTTCAGTTCTATCATAGAATAGTTCTATTAGTTAAAAAAAAAATATCTGAAGGCAATGAAAATATGTAATTGTTATAATAATAATAAAAATAAACAGAAGCTCATGAAAATACATGTTGATGTAAATGTCAGTCTAACTTGTATTTGTTTGATTAATCTCTGCCTTGAGATACTTAATTGAAAAAAAAACTTGATGAATACATTTTGGTTTTATAACTGCTTTTGTAGGTTATAGACTTTTAGCTCCTCATACAAAGGAGGCTGCAGTCACGCTGTAGTATACTTTAGGAGTAGGAAAAACTAGGCAACATCTGACAATAAATCTCAATTATAAACTCACTTATGTTCCACATTGTACCTTATTTCTCATCATAGTCTCAGTTATAGTTGCTACTAAGTGAAACAAATTAAACAATTTCATTCATTGCCAGTAGAATTCCTGTGGAGCTGTGAAGTACATCAGTTCTAATACCTGTTACTTTTTTCTCCATTATATCTCTTGCTTGTTCTTTTACTAGTTAGTCTGTGCATTCATGTTTCAGTAGATGGCACCCTGCATTGTGCGTTTGCTTTCTATACTATAGCAAGGGAAACAGCTGGTATGTGATTACAATTTGATGGAGAAGTATACAGCCTAAAAAATGCAGGAGAATTGGTGTTGAGCTGTCACAAGACATGGGGCATAAGGTTAGATAATTGATATTTTGGCAGAAAAAGCCAATAAATTATTTTGTTTTGAAGGCCATGTTACAATTTGAGATTGAAAGAATAATTCTAAAATGGATTTTTTTAAACATATGTATTATTTTATTAATAATAAAAAAAAGTTAATATTATAAAATTCTTGATTTGTTGATAGTAACAAAGAGAAGTGAAGTTTTAGTTATATATTTCAGATTTTGACTTTATTATTAGTCATAATTACTTAATATCTTTTTTATACATCCAGACATAACAAAGTCTAAAATATATCTACTTATTTTTGCTCTGTGCGATTTCCATTTCTTTCTTTTGCTGAGTCATTGATTGGGGTCTCAACTGAATTTTATGAAGAAATCAAAGCTGAGCTAATCACATCCAATAGAATTGGATAAATATGGACTTTGAAGGTAAATTGGCAGTGGAAGATTGGCTCACCAAGTTTAGAAGCTAAATTGTTTCTAAGTCCATTTCTTACTGTTTTATAGATCTCAGTAAGAATTACCTTTAAAGCAGTCTTTCCTTTATATCCATACCAACTTGCCATTAGGGCAGTGCATAGTAATAAATTATACTTCTTGTTTAAACTGCAAAGTAAAATTTGAATCTGATTAATTCTTTTTGCTCTTACATATAATTATTACTTTTATCATGAGAGAAAATTTTTTCTGAAGAAAACTATGTTACATCCAAGCTTCATAACATGTCTTTTAAATATGAATACTTTTTGCTAGATTTTCACAAAAGAAAACTGAGTCGATATTACTATAAGCCCTCCTGAACTGATATTTGAATGTATCTCTGTCCCTAGAACAGACTTTGTATATTTACACCAATTGTACACAGCTGTCCAATAGTGTTTATAAGAAGGCAGTGATGTTGTGAAACACAAATGTTTTTATTAATAATATACTGCATATGTAAATGATAACTAAATGGAAAGAAGAGGATGAAAACTAATACTGTATCAGGTGTGTTACTCTAAAAACTGATTAGTAATAGGAGCATAAAGGAGTCTCTTCATGCTTCTCAACATTAACTTTTGGAGGTGATTGTTCTCAAAGTACCAGAATTTAGAAATTTTTCTTTTGGCTCTTAAATCAAGGTAATAATGCATATTTTAAAGATAATTTGGTTTATGCAATTCAGGCAAATAATAAAGGCAACAAACATTTATTGAGTATCTATTATTAACCTAAATGCTGTTTCTTGCTCTTCTGCCTATTTTTTTTTTTTTTTAAGGGTGGGCAGGTATTAAGTACAGTTATTTAAGTGTTTATGTGGTGATTACAGTGGAATGGAGGTGGTTCTGTTTAATTACAATTTTTCGTAATTCTTTAATTGAGCAACTGTTGGTAGGTTCCCCTTTATCCTGGCCCAGGAAAGGTAAGAAGGCCATACTATGCACAGCATAACAGGAGCAAAGTCACAATCAAAAGTATAATACCTGATATTAGATTCTGTTGAATGATTAATTTAAATATTTGAAGTTTCAAAAAACAATAAATAATTGATCAATGGAATTTGTTTACTAGTTTAAAAAAAATTATTTTCAAAAATCAAAACAACAGTGATTATAATAAAGATTTTTTCATTGCATATTTGCTTATAAATAATAGTGAATTTTAAATTGCTGTTGATTAAAATGCATGCACACATATACATCATACCTACTGTACTGTGGCCTGATAAAGACCCTATAACTAAAGGTTTCTATTGTAAAACAATTTGATAAAAAGCTCTAAAATACTGACGATTGTTGTAAAACTCCTGCCATTGTGGTAACGGGTATTAAAAATTGCTAGTGCTAAAGCTGGTATATTTTTACATATGTGAATCCCAAATGGTTTTTGATGAAAACTTTGTCCCCTTTATGAAAAAGAACTGAGTCATGTCCTTATGTGAACTTTAATGTAAAAGTCATTTGCTTTCATATTAGGAAATTTCAGCACTTGGTTGTTGTTAAATTTCAAATACATGCACATAACTCATTCAAAATGCAAGTTGGTCTTAAACACAAATAACAGAAGATGTTTTTGTTTATTTGTTTCCTACAGCCTGTTTGGAAGCCCTATCCTAATCAAGACAGTGACTTATTGGTACTCAGTGGTACAGACTCAGAACTGAATATACCTCGAGTATGTGAATTCTGTCAAGCAGTTTTCCCACCATCCATTACATCTCGGGGGGATTTCCTCCGGCATCTTAATTCACACTTTAATGGGGAGACTTAAGACACATTTAAAAACAGACATATCAAGTGCTAGGCAATGATTTTGGGTTTGTAATACTATAAATACTTGATTGTAAACTTAGTTCAAGAATGTTTATAGAAAAAATCAGTGCTACAGTTTTGAAATTTTTTCTAAACTTAATTTTATAACTTTCTTTTATCATCTTTTAAAAGATTCTGTACACATCTGTAATTCATTGCATTCATGTTTAGAGTGTTGTTATCATAATTCAAAATTATATATGTAACTTATAAAGTTGTATAATCATAATTCAAGTTTGTTTCAGATATCTAAGCTTACTGCTTGGATTTCTAGTTAAGTCAGTTGCATCTGGTAATGTTAAATGTTTATAGGGTTTTTTAAAATTTTGTTTTCATTTAAAAATTTAGATTATTTATGATAAAGGTGATACTTTTTTTAATAAACCTATAATAAAGAATAGTAGACAACATAAATATCTAATAAGTAAATGCCAAACCTAACACATTTGTTGGCCAATGATAAGATCACTAGTAAAATTAAATACTTTGGATTGTTTTATCAGTAATATTTGTGGTTTTAATTTTTACTTCTGTGTATAGCTACATATAAAAATGATGATCACTTATACTATGATCACTAATGTGTTGTTTCTGAGTAAAAAAATAAAGGAAATAAATCACATTTTGGGAAAGTTCTTAACATTCATGTTTTCTTTCCAGTAGCCAGATAGAAGGGTAATGAGCAGATCTGGTGACATTGTGCTCTAAGTTGGGTCACTTTGGATTTTAAAATTATTTTTCAAACTAAACTTACTAAAGAAACAATTCTATTTAATGGGAGCAAATCTAAAACCCTGTAAGGACTATCCATATGTATTAATTTAGATTAGGAATGTTCATATTCTTGTTGAGAAATTTGTTATTCATTGTTAGCAGCTTGACTGATGGCCACTGGAAGACATTTGAGAGAAGCGACTAAATTCAGAAGGATGCAAAATTTTGTTAACATTTTTTAAATAAATTCGCTTTTGTTTTTTTCTCTATGATTTTTGCCTTTTGCGTTTCTCTTTTCCCCTTTTAAAAATGCTTCCATTTTATGAAGTAAACATTGATTTGCAACTCTGAAACAAATTTAAGCCATCTTGAAGCAAGTGTTTTAAGCCTGAGGGTTTGGGATGGGGGAATTCAAGCAGGCCCCTGTGTCACAGTGAAGAGCCTTAACGTGTGGAAGAATGGGAGTGGTGCCTCAACTTCTCAGGGTGCCAAGCACATCACATTGACATCTTCCTCACCGAGGTGACAGCGATTATTAGGTATTCACTGTGAAGGGTTCTGAGGCATGTACATCTTTCTTTCATTGCCAGTGGGGCTGAATGGAAATGCCTAGACAATTATCCAAGCCTCTTCCCTTCCCCCCCTACCACCGCCCACCCAGCCTCCCCTCACTTACCCCTCCCACACACACAGAGAAAATTTAAAATAAAAACTTCCCAGCATGGACCAGCCAGAATATACCACTGTACCTGTCTTGTGAAAGGGAATTCTTTTTCCCTTTTCTATAAGGGGAGAGTCCCTCTCACACACAGGAAATTGCTGACAACCAAAGGAAACTAACCAAGAAAGTGATTCAAACTATCATTGACCCCTCTCTCCAGTCCACCCCTTTCCAATTTCCGACCTTTTTAGTAAGGGGGGTGGGGCACACGTTGTATTCTTTTGGGTTCCAACTTTACTCCTGAACCACAGGAGTGGGGCCTGGAGAGCGGGCTCTTGCCCCTCCCCGCTGAGGTGACGCTGGCCGCACTTGCAGCTCGAGAGGTGGAGTGGGCATCCGCCAGGTCTCCTGTGTCCTATTACTGAGTCGTGCAGGGGCTGCATCTTGGCATCTGCTAAGCGTGGCCGGGTAAGAACATCTCCCAGGTAAAAAAGCTGCACACACGAAACGCTGAGTCTGAATAACCCACCCCCGCCGAGGCGAGGCAGTTGTGAGCGGGATGCCTGAGAAGTGGGAGGTGAATGTCCTCAGGAGGGCCCCCCTGGTGCAGCTTTCCCCGGAGGCTGAGGCTGCTGCCAGCGGGGACATCTGCTTTCTTACACTCCAGCCTGGCTCACCCCGCCCCCTCAGCCCCGGGTTGCGTGGTTATTTTACCAACACGGGGGGAGGGAGAGCTCAAGGAGGTAGAAAACGGGTAGGTGGAAGCTCAGGAAATTTTCTTCCCACTCCCCCACATCCCCTCCTTTTTTTTTCCACATCTTTTAACCTTCAAGGTAAAGACTTTATAAATATGAAACAAAAAGTGTGTCCGCTGGCTCCCAGGCCCGCCTTTTCTGCTCGCCAGGGCTGCCCTGTGCGCAGCCTTGCCCTTCCTTCCATCCTCTCCGGAGCTGGGCCGGGTTTCGACGGTTGCGCTGGGTGCAGGGGCCGGCCGAGTGCGCTCAGGCTGTAGCGCCTTCTCTCCCTGGCTGCTGCCTCGACAGCTGCTTGTAGCTACAGTAATTAGACTGTCAGTGCTTGTTAGAGGAGAGAGGGGAAAACACGCTCCTGACAGCAGATTCCGAGACTACCCAGTTTGTTAATTTCTAAGAGATCTTTAAAGCATTAATTGAGGTCTCCCCAACTCTCCCCTCCCGCTCCCTCTTCCTTACTCCTCCCTTCCCAAAAATATCTTCAGAAGAGAATTCTCTCCGCGCAGAAACAGTATTTCCTGCGAAAGTACAAGCCTGCCCTCCCACTCACCCACCTATCCCCTGTTTTACATATACATATATATGTACACATGCATGTGCGTAAGGTTAACTCGGTAAAGGCCTCGTTCGTTCAAATAGGAACCAGGAATGAATTTTAAAAATAATAATAAATAAATAAATAGGAAGGAAAGGGGGAGGGAAGCAGAAGTCGGGAAGAAAAGAGAAAAGCAGCAGGCTGATTACGAGGTGTCAAAACTGCCAGGAGCAAGAAGGTGATAGCAATCAGGGGTGAGAAGAGTGCGGCATTCGTGCGGGGCAACTAATTATCCGTCTCATTTGAGAAGAGCAGCATTTGAGGCAGCAGCGTTCGCCTGCTGAACGGTGACAGATTGGCGCGGAGGAGAGGGGAGGTGTTAAAACAATGGAGCCGGGCGCGCGAGCGCTGCTGCATGCTAATCAGCCCTCCCTCCGCCTGCCTGCCGCGCTCCCTCCTTCCTCCCAGCCTCCCTCCTCCGCGCTCCCTCCTCCCGCCTCCTTTCCAGTGGGCCCGCCGCCGTCGCCACCCGCTTCCTGCTCCCTCGCTTTCCCGTGCGTCCTTCCAGCCGCTGGCAAGTGGAACCCAGCCATCGCCACCACGTCCCTCACGGCCGGGAACCCGGCGCGCAGCTTCCCGCGGGCACCTCCGCTCGCCGGCCGCACGCGCGTCGGCGCGGAGCGCAGCCTGGCGCTGGCCGCACCCAAAGGCCGAACCCAGCGCCAGCGCCCACTCGCCTCGTAGGGAGTGGGGTCAGGGCCTGCATTCTGGACTCTGCGTCTTGGAGAGAAGGCCGAGGAGCTTGCACTGTTGCGCCTACTCGCTGTCTGGTGACCTGCAAGCGCTGGGCAGAGAGTGGGAATCGAGGCGAATTTGGAAGGGGCGAGGGACAGGCAGGGGAGGGAAGAGAGTCGGGGCCAGAAAGGCAAGGAAGTCGCTGGACGATCCTCCGACCCAGCCCCAGCGTGGCCGCCACCCAGAGGCTTTTCCCAGCCGGTCCAGGGGCAGCGGCGGGCCGGCAGCTTATGGGCGAGTCAGTCCCTCAGCAAGTCTCTGGCCTTGCGACCCGCCGCAGCACCCTTCCTTCCCACCCAACAAGAACTCTACTTTTAAGATTAAATAAACCCAGATTATACGAATAAAGGGCCTTGGCGTTAGTTGAGTTGTGCTTTCAAGACTTGACCTCCTGACCCCAAATTGTTGTTGTTATGTACCGTCGACCCCAACATTAGACTATGGGAAAGTCTGGACAGCTCTGGGACACACCCTAAAACTGTTAGGTGAGAGAGAAGCTTTCAAGATATTGGCCCCTTCACCTCTTCCTGAGAGGCTGTGAGTAAGTTGGGATAGGCCAAGCATTTCGGACAGTACAACCTCCAGGCTGGCTACTCCCCTCAGAGCTCTGGTCTGAGAATAGATGGTCAAGAACCGCAAGGCGTTGACTCTCCCACAACAGAGAATTCTTGAGAACCAGCGCCTTTTTCTGGAAAATGTCTCCCATACCCGATAAGGCAGTCCGGAGCCTGAGGTCTTTGATACAACTTTCCCCTACTTTTTCCTGATTGTTGAGTTTATACCTTTTGCTTCAAATACTCTCTTATTCTGCTGTTAAAATATTTTTACTATTACAGATTTACATAAACTACCCTTAGGAAAAAAAATTGTTTTAATTGACGCCCTTATGGTTCAAATAGATTAAACAAATAGGGCTACAGAGAACTGGTAGGAATTTGGACTGAAGAATAAGAATGTATGCAATTCTTTCCAACTTGTTCCTGTGCTATTTAGTTAGCCAGGTATCTAAATTAACATAACACAACGTCCTTCCCCCAAGCCTTAGAAGGAAGGAAAGTACCTGAAAGATGATCTATGCAGTGTATTTTATTTTTGCCAACCCATGCCATGCCATAATTTTGCACATACAATTGTTCATTTTAAGAAATCAATTTAAAAGATTAAACTTAAGTAAAGCTCATAATAGTTTCATTTATATTCTCTCCTCTGAATTTGTAAAGTTTTGTAATAAAAATACATGGAAATAAAGATTATTTGAGTAAATTATGGTGTATTTACATCATCATCATCATTGATCCTAGTCATATGGAAAACTACACAAATGCACAGAGTGAATGAATCATTGTTCTTTTTAGAATATGCCTGGAAATACCAATAGAGTAGCAGAGGGCCAATTATTAGGGTCTACTAAAATAATACAGAATTTTTTAAAGTACTAAAATTGAGAATGAAAATTGACTTACATAAAGAATTGTGTGTAAATAACGTTAATACTCTTTGGTTTCCACGCTTAGGAGAACTACCAAGCAGGCCTCTGCCATGAGTGCATCACAGACTTTGCAGGACTAGAGTTTATATGGCATTTGGGAAATTCCCTGGCTTCTAGTTCTATTAAAATATCAACCTATCTACAGCAAAGAAAAATAATAATAACTTTACATTTATTAATATTAACCTGGAGATTCAGCCACTCCATCAACATCAAAATTAAGCAAGTTACTAAATATTTACAAATTTTTCTTCATTTTCTTCTTCTATAGAAGAAATCTATGTCCCTGAAATCATGAACCTATGAAGTTCAAATAATACTAGTTCATTTCTATATTGTGTTACGTATTTCTAATTTCAAATCAAATTCTTTTCCAACAACTTGTTTTTATAGCTTTAGTTTAATTTCTTCTCAGTCTCTGGACTTCACTAATTTACATGATTGTTTTAATGGTGTGTTTACAGATAAGTTTTTATTTATGCATAAGGACAAAAAGGTGAAGTGAAATTTGGTCCCAATGGAAACCTGTTAGGTTCCCCGAACATATGGCTCGTTGGGCTGTTACTTCCTTTTTGAGATCATTTTCCAAGATTTTTTAATATATACATCAATTTGACACCAGTTAAAGAAAATATATTGGCTTTGAAGATGCCTCCACCTGGGGCATATCTCTGAATAACAAACCAAGTAGTCAGGTGTACCTCTGAATGTACAGGTTTCTAGTCTCAGACAACAGGGTATAATTTGAAACCAGTCAAAACTGACAGTTGATTTGCACTGTCTTTGGAATTAGGTAGCTCTTTGTATTCGTAGAACGTCACAATGATTTGATTACTACAGTTTAGGAGTGATGGCTTAAAACTCTTTTTCTAAAGGCTGTGCATTTGGAATCCACAGTATTACAATGATTTATCTCAGTAATACAAGTGATGTAAATCTCATTTGTTGAAGGTGTGTGATGCCAGCTTAAGACTTAAGGGGAAAATCACAGCACTTTGAAAAAGATGTAAATGTTCAATTGGTTAAAAAAAAAAAAAAAGAGGGAAAACCATGCTAAAACATGTTCCTATTTCCATTATGCTTAATTTACTATTCAAAACAAGTTTTTCCTAATAAGCTCTATTGTTTCTTTCTGTTTTGTAAAATTTAATATGTGTGAGACAAAAACCAGATTCAGAATGTGAATGAAGTCTGTTTAGAGAAAGATTGTTAAGCAGTGTATAGTTCAAGGGGGCCCTCAGATTAAAAGAAAATCACCTTATATTACTGATAGGTTAGAGGGAAGCAAGTCTCCTAAATCTTCATTTCTTAGTACCAGTCACAGCTAGATTGTCAACTTCGTCCAGGCTCAAAGATCCTCGTGGATGAATTCATCAACTCAAAGTGCAACAAGACTAGACTATTCAGAATGATGATGCCACGAATATTTACCAAATATCTTCAGCTTTCACTTGATTGCAGGCCTCTTCTTTCTGAGGCCTCAAACCCCAAAGATGACTTGAGGGATTAAGTTCTCAAACATATAACCCCCTTGTCCCGCCGTGTCTGTACAGGGTGTATGTTTTTAAATGACTGGGCTTGGCAGGATATTTGCACCTGATTATGGAATCCCTTGATGTTTAACCAGTCTCCTGTGTCGTATTTGAATATTCCCCTGGAATCAGGAGTGCCCAGTTAACTGGAGTATGCCAGTTCTCCCTTTGTTGTGTAGGACTAAGCCATGAATAAATTCAAAAATATCTTGCTGATATCCTTGGAAAGAAGTGTACAAAAAAATAAGTTATCTTTAACTAATTGCTCAAGGAATAATTGTTTTAAAAACTAAAAAAAATCTTAAAGATTGTCGAATTCAACTTTCTTTGAAGGGGGAAGGGAAAGGTGGGCACCTGAAATCTAAAGATACTAAATGAGTCCCTCAAACCCACTCAAGTAGCTAGAACTCAATTCCAGCTTCCATGATTTGTAATCTACCATTTTTTTTCCATAATAATCCCTCACCTCAAAAAGTATATACATTCTTACCGGGTTTGTATTTGTCTTTTCAGGAGACTTAAATCAAAAGTGTCTTTACACAGATACTGTTCATTACACTAAACCACAGAACAGTGGGAAGCCTGCCTTCACCTGCCAATGTTGTTGTTGTTATGTGCCATTGACTTCATAGTGACCCCTCCTTGGTTTTCCCAGGCGGTATCACTACAGAAGTAGGATTCCCCAACCTTCCGAGGAGTGGCTGGTGGGTTTGAACCACTAGCCTTCTGGTTAGCAGTCAAGTGCCTTAGGCACTATGCTACCAGAGCTCCTGCCAATAGGGTGGAGCTTATTATTTAGAGGTTATCCATTGATTACCACTTTACCAAGGGTCCCGGAACAGCTTTGCCAGGAGCAAGAAGCACATTAAAGTACTGAGGGTTGACTATTTTCATCCTTTTCCGACTAAGGAACATCAAGTGTGGTAATGTATTTTTGTAATTTGAAATATAAACTAAGTAAGGTAGCAAAGAAGAGAAAAAAAAAGGATTTGTATCTGTAAAGCACATGTGAAACCACACCATAAACCCCACACCGCAATGGTAATTTCATAATAGTCCAAATTCTGAACCAAGGGTTTGTCTGGGAAAGAAAAACAAATTGAAAAAAAAGTAAACAAAACACCAACAACCAGCAAACTAGTTTGAATTGGAAGTGAGTCTATGCATTTTCTAAAACTATTAAACTGGAAGCAAAACATTCTCTGAAAGAAACAATTCTCTCACTTGGTTTGAGACTAGGCTTTCCTGAGTCTTGATATGGCTCAGAAGGTGCTGGCTTTTTCTAGTATTGTCTTCCCTTAGGTATTGGTGAATCAACTCTGAAAATAGCTCTCTTAGATAAAGATTCTCCATTTGCAGTTGTTAAATAGCAAATGATAAAGCGGCATTCTGTGTGAATATATTCATACAAATTCAAGCAATTGACTTAAAAGCTGGGCTTTGAACCGGTTCCGATTTAGTCATGTCCAAGTCAGGGAAATCAGAACAGCCCAAATTTGTAAAATGTGGGTATACTGGAGTGATAACTGGAATGGAAAAAATTACAAGTCAAAGCCCTGGAATGGGAGACTGGCAAGAGGTAGTGAGCCTTTCAGAAGCCTGACGCAGGAGAATGGATTGTGGAATGACTGATATACATTAAAAGTGATGTGGTCTGCTGCCATCCTTGAGCCGGGCAGTATTGTTTCCAACTCTGCCATTCAAGAGATTTGGTTGCTAAGCAACACATCCACTGCCCCTGTTTTCTAAGAGGGAGATTAAGTTTCTAGCTGGACATAGACTTGTAATTTTTTCTGTTCCATTTATTGTCCTGGTACACATTCAAGTCTGTTCCAGTTTTGTTTCATCGGCCATGACTGAGCCAGGAAGAACGGTTCAAAATTCTGCTTAAAAAGAAGACTAGCTCACTGGGAATCCAATGAGGGTGATAATGTTTGCTTGAAAAAGCTGTCTAACCAGGCCTGGGGAAAAAATGCAAGCAGCAGGTTTCTACCATATAGCAGCTTACACACACACACACACACACACACACTCCAATATGCAAGGACTCACTGGTTTTGTTTAGTTTTTCCTGGGGTTTTATTATTGACATTTTGAAACTCTTTTCTTTCAATATCATCAAGATTTGGATAAGACCTATTTCTGTTGTAGTTGTTGTTATACGCTGTATAGTCGCAGCCGACTCATAGCGACCCCTCCTTGGGTTTCCAAGGCAGTATCACTATAGAAGTAGATTGCCCCATCTTCCTTCCCAGGAGTGGCTGGTGGGTTTGAACCACCAGCCTTCTGATTAGCAGTCAAGTGCCTTAGGCATTACGCTACCAGA